CAAGGCTCGTGCTACTACATTTTCAGATAAAGGCAAGACACTCATGTGAGACCGACGGAACCATCGCAAATTCCGTAACCGTGACACATGCATAAGATAGATATGTTTTCCAATTTAATAGTATACGTTAGTATAGGTTGAATTACATTTGCATTACTGGTTAGGTTAGTACAAGTTGAATTGTAATTGCATTAATAAACTATAGGTTAGTACAAGGTATTTAATTCAGTATTGTTTTCCTTTTTCTTTCCCTTATATTTATTTATTCACAAGGTAATAAATGAGGAACGAATTAATGTTGCATTTAAAATAATTCCACATTAAATGTACAGTTAGAAATACAGTATTAAATAGAAAAATTTAGGTTCGTTGCAGATCGGATCCATTAATCTTTTTGATCTCGATCTTTGAATTTTTTATCTTCATAGAATGTGGTGAATCTCTCCTAGCTCTGATACCATATGTTAAGATCATACACACACTCGTTCTAGATGAAGAATATGAAAAACAAAGGAGAGAAGATGCAAGAAGAAATATATGAGGAAACACCGGAGATGAAAACTCTACTACTATTACTAGGGTTTATTTATAGATGACTTTAAATAGTTATAAATAAAATAATCCATAAAAAAAAAAAGTTCATTAGGAGCATAGATAAGATTTCTCAAATTACTTAACTATTAATTTTTTTTTAACTCGTAAGTAAACTTAACTCAGAAGTAAACATCGGACTCCACAATCTAACACGGCACTCACTGGGAAGCTCAATTCACGGTTCGTACTACTAAGACTGTGAGGTCCCACATCGATTGACGAGAAGAACGAAGCATTCTTTACAAGGGTGTGACAGCCTCTCCCTAGCAGACGCGTTTTAAAAATCTTGAGGGGAAATTCCAAAGAGGACAGTATCTGCTAACGATGGGCTTGGACTGTTACAAATGGTATGAAAGCTAGACACCAGACGCTGTGCTAGCGAAGAGGTTGAGCCCTTAAGGGGGGTGGACATGAGGCAGTGTACCACCAAGGACGTTGGACCTTGAAGAGGGTTGATTGGAGGGTTCCACATCGATCGGAGAAGGGAACGAGTACCAGCGAGGACGTTGGGCCCCGAATTGGAGTAGATTGTGAGATCTCACATCGATTGGCAGGGAGAACGAAACATTCTTTATAAGGGTGTAAAAATCTTTTCCTAGTGGCACATTTTAAAAATCTTGAGGGGAAACCCGAAAAGGAAAATCTAAAGAAACAATATCTGTCAACGATGAGCTTGGGCCATTACAAACACACATTAATTTTATGAAAAATATTTTATATTTTAATATTAATTTAAAAGAAATCAACCATTAATATTATGAAATATATCTTATATATTCGTAATCAGTTAATATTTTTCCTTTGATTAGTAGTATATTTTATTTTATTTTAAAATTTTAGTTAGTTTATATTTTCTTTATTTGTAGATATTAGACGGTAGCCTGTATAACATTTAAACGTTTGTGAACATCAATGAAAATTGAAATCCCAATTTTATTTCTCATTTATGTATGGTTTACTTAGTAATAATATTTACAGATCTATTCACACTTTTGATGGGTAGATATTGTATTATTGACAACACATGAAATTAGAATTTAAATCTAAATTTAAAAAATAATAATAATAAAAGAAACATTATAGGACAAATATTAAATAACATGGTTAACCCAATAAATATGAAAAAGTAAAATAAATAAAATAATGATAGGTTCATATCTTTGACGGAAAGTCAACGGCATCATTGACAGCTTACCAAACTTCTATTTTGTGTCTCTCACACTCCAACTTTAAGTTTCACCAAATATTTTGCACCGCAACCCCACGCGCCTCACGCGCTGTACTTTCTCTCAAAATAATATATATTTATTTATTTTTTATTTTTCTTTGGCTGACGTGTACGGTGTACCATAATTTACTTTCTACTTCAACTTTGACTTCCATCACCTCCAACATGTTTTGTAGAGAAAAAGTAATAGGGAGAGTTTAGGAATTTCACTCCAAATTATAATGATTTTTTAAATATCTTCCTAAATTTTTAATTTGTTATTTTTTTAAAATTGAATTAGGAGGGACAAATCAAAGAAGAAGGTCGTATATATTTAATGGCTACCAATAGAATAGGAAATCTCCGTTTAATGAGAAATTAGGGAAGGATTGATGACGGATTTTTCTAGATAAATGGGACGAGAATATGGATGATATTTGTCACTCGTGTCGTTACCTAATTTTTATGTCGTTTTATAAATGAGGTTATCATTTTATTTCCACCCAACTCATTATATTTTATTTTAGTTAATAAAACAAAATTATATTAAATTGAAGGTAAAAACAAGCTTGGAGGCTTTTTATAATACTATTACTTGTATATTAACGTTCAAAAATTATTAAAAAAAACTGTAATATTAAAATCTGATAAATAGGATGTTGGATCGGTATGGCAACCCTAGAGGGGGGGTGAATAGGGTTTTAACGATAAAAGTGTTTAAACTTGATTAATTTTTCTAATGATAAAACTTTTTACAAATAAGTAGAAGATGATAATTACTAAAACAAAATGATTCAAGTCAAAACAATAATCAAGTAGAACATGCAATAAATCATAATAATAATCTTGAAATTAAATAGGAAAGAGTTAGAGAAAATGACACCGTAGTTTTATAGTGGTTCGGTCAAACTCGACCTACTCCACTCCCCAAGCGCCTCTTGAGAATTTGAATAAAGAACTTTTCCGACTCTTTCCACGGATCAGAGCCAAACCGGTACACCGCTCTTTTTACGAGTTCAAGAGCAAACTCAATCCTTTCCACGGCGCAGGATCAAACCGATACAAGTATTTGAGTTTGATAATATCACACCACAACTCTCTCAAAGAGTAGATTTACAATTTGGGATACTAACAACTATTTCCTCACAATATAATAATAATCCCTCTCAAGAATAAGATGAAAAGAAATAAACTTGTAAGCTTGGAGAGAGCAACAAACAATGGAGACTTTGAACAAATGAGGATTGAAGAATGTATGTAAGTTGTGTGTTTTAAAAATGTGGGGAAGATGAGTTTATATAGAGGAGAAAAGTGGCAAAATGTAGGATTGAATATTGACCATTGGATTGTGTTAGGAATAATGGAAGGTGGAGATTAAAAGTAATTAAATAAGAAAATTTTCTAAATTCATTTATTTCAAAATTTTAATATAATAGTAATATAATATAATAATAATAAAAAGTTATGCGAGTAACGGTCAAATGAAATTCAAAATTTATTATAAATATAATAATAAAAATGATGTGAGTAACTACCAAAATTTTAAAATATAATAATATAATAATATAATATAGTAATAATAAAATTCGATGTGAGTAACGGTTATATTCAAATTTATATTTTGTAAAAATAATTTTATTTAGAAATGTAATAATAAGAAAAACTCCACCATTTGTTACTCTTCCAATATTATAAATGTCATACTTTGATATATTTTGATTTGTCCATCATTTTGATTTTGTTGCCACATCATCACGTCGGGTATGTTGTCTCGACTCTAATTTCTTCGTTTTAGCTCTGATTTGAGTAATTGAAAAGTTGTTGTAATCGTTATTCCCGACCTTATACTGTGGACAGTTCAAAAAACTGAAAATAGTTAATAATTAAAAGTAGGTTTGTTATCATCAAAACATCAATAAATAATTCATTGAAATTAATTAATGTGAGATCAAGGGCCAATAAGCCAACATAGGATACAAGCTAATACTAATGCGTACAAATAAGAAAAATATAAACTAATTAAATATTAAAAATAAAATAAAATATACTATAAATTAAATCATAAACAAAGAATATAATATATAAGATATATTTCATAAATAATATATACTCTAAATATTATATCTCAATATTATTATATTATATTTTTGTTTAAGAAAGTTATAATTATATTAGATTTTTGCAATTATACGGTAAAATGAAAATATTTATTTGAAAGGTCTCTTCTAGGAAAAAATCTCATAAATAAATGAGAATTATACTAACGATATGATAGTTAAGGAATGGTTAAAAAGAATTAAAAATTACTACTCATACGCATAAAAGAATTAAAAAATAGTTAAAAAAATTAAAGTAAACAATTTTACTTGGGTAGAAATGGAATGGAATGAGAATTATAATAAGAATATGATAGTTAATAAATAGTTAAAAGAATAAAAAAAATATTACTCATATGAACCCAGAGACATTAATCATACAATATACTCCGATAAAGATGTGAAGAAAAAGCAGTTGAAATTATCAAAAGATATTTCAATTCATGCCACATTGAAGAACAATAAAGCTACATCATTATAAATTTTCGGTGGATTATAATTTAGAGTTATTGTATTTCATTAATATATTTTAAGACTTTTTATTTACTCTAGTTACCTTTGCTAATTATAGTCCTAAAGTATATATACAGTGGAATAGGTCCAAGAGTTTTATTTTATGGCTTAGGGTTTAGGGTTTAGGTATAGTAATCTTTTATCAAATGATTAAGTTTGTTTGCAATTGTATGGCATGTAAAATCATTCAAGCTCGACATGATCAATCTTACTCGTAGAATGATTCGAATCTCAAACGAGTGTTCTTGTCTTGAAATATTCAACCAACAAGGTAATCGAGATCTTACTCTCCTTATAATGATTTCCATATCATTTGGTATCAGAGTTTTTCCTTAGGCTGATTTCCTCATCAACTATGTACCTGCATAAGCTTAAATAATTAAAAATTCTAAATTTGGAGTAAATTTAAAATTTTATTAAAATAACTCAAAATTAAAAGTTTGTAAATAATAAAAATGTAAAAAAAAAAAAAGAATCTCCAAATATAATATATATATATAATATTAGGTCATCAAAATGAATTTCCCCACTTCCAAGAATGCCCCTTGTGAGTTGGGCGCAACATTTGTGAACCCCATAAATAAATATCAGAAGACTCTCCCACTGACACAAGACCACAGCTCCACAAATCTCCCAAATGAACAACCATTTCCTCCTCCTCCTCTGCTCCGCTCTGCTCTTTCCTCCGCTCATCCACGGCCGTCCCACCGCCGCCGTCCGATCACACGACGGATCTGAAGAATGGGGATACGTCCAAGTCCGACCCAGTAACCACCACAAACCCCTCCATCTCTCCTTCCTGCTTTCCTTCTCTAATTTCTCTAATTTCCTCCCTTTGCAGAAGCTCATATGTTCTGGTGGCTCTATAGAAGCCCCTACAGAGTCGACCATCCCTCCCAGCCATGGCCCATCATCCTCTGGCTGCAGGGCGGCCCCGTAAGACCTAACCCAACTCAATCCAACCCAACCCAATCCATATCGTATCTCATCATTGTTCCTTTTAAAACAGGGAGCTTCTGGAGTTGGGATTGGGAATTTCAAGGAAGTGGGCCCATTGGATGCTGCTTTGAACCCGAGAAATTCCAGTTGGATTCATAAAGCAGATCTTTTATTTGTGGTAAAAACCAACCCAACAGGTATCATGTTATTGTTGAGATTCGTGATTTCTAATAATTTTTTTTTTTTGGTGGAAGGATAATCCGGTGGGGACCGGGTATAGCTTCGTGGAGGAAATGAGTTCGCTAGTGAAATCGGATGTACAAGCCGCCGTGGATTTAACGACGCTGTTACAGTCCATTTTCAATGGAGATCAACGGCTGCAGAAGAGTCCGCTTTACATTGTCGCCGAATCCTACGGTGGGAAATATGCCGTGACGCTAGGATTGTCGGCTTTGAAAGCGATTGAAGCTGGGAGCTTGAAGGTTACACTTGGAGGTATGTGATTTGGCTGTCACGTAGGGAATGGAGGTCGTGGGTGAGGTTAATCTCAATTCTCCTAATTTTTGCAGGGGTGGTGTTGGGCGATAGTTGGATTTCCCCGGAAGATTACACGGTACGATTTTTTCTTTTATTTATTTATAATAAAATTTGAGAAATATTTTAATTTAATTTTATGGAATTTAAATGCTTTTAATTTGATAGCCTTAGAAGTAGGTGACATGGATTATTCTTCTAAAGAGGGGTTCACTTAATTGTTTTCACATGTGGGCGAACCTCTTTCTTAGGTATATTATTGTATTTACGTGGGAGGATATATAATATAATATCACGTGGGCTCCTCAATATTCTTTCGTTTTAGTTGGAACCATCAGATTACACATGGGTTTCGTCTATATTATATATTCGAATTCTATATTCTTGGATCTGATTTAGAAAGGTCCATTTATAACCCGTAAAGTCTCAATTGGGAGAAATTTGCCCCTGAGAAAATAGGGGAGGGAGCAGGGAAAGGTTATTTTTCATCCCGACCTATTATCCGTTCAACCTTATATTATAGGTTTCTTATAAAATAAATGAGAAATTTTCTAGGGATGGAAAATGAAATAGGAGGTGAGAACAGACATCAAATAATGAAAAAATCTGGAAATTTTAGAAATTTCGTGGAGATATAGAATGAAATATACGAGATGGGTGAGGACAGGAATGAGAAAGGCTTCTCGTCCATCCTCTCGATCTCCACACAAGGATATCTCTAACCTGATTTAACAGGAATTTTAGAAATTCTAATTTTAGAAATTCTCGTAGAAATTTAACAGGAATATGGAATGAAATAGGAGGTGAGTGAGGACAGGGATGAGAAAGACTTCTCTATCTATCCTCTCGATCTCTGCACGAGGACATCTCTAACCTGATTTAAGAGGAATTTTAGAAATTCCCGTAGAAATTTAACACAAATATGAAATGAAATAGGAGGTGGGTGAGGACAGGGATGAGAAAGGCTTCTCAATCCATCCTCGAACTCCGCACGGGACATCTCTAACCTAATTGAACAGAAGTTTGACAAATTCCCATAGAAATTTAACACGAATATGGAATGAAATAGGAGGTAAGTGGGGACAGAGAAAGACCCATCTTCAATCTCGAACATCTGTAACCTAATTTACTATAATAGAACGAAAATAGGAAATAACAATAGGGTTTGATTGGGAATAGAAAGTTTTTGAGATTGGCAGTTTTCATGGGGACCTCTTCTAAAAGACATGTCGAGGCTGGACGACAAAGGCCTGCTCAAATCCAACACGTGAGTTCGTCTTCTTCCGCACCCATAACTGGTTCAAAAAATTTCAACTAACTTTGAAAATTATTCACAGTATTGCTAAGAGAATTCAACGCCAGATTCAAAGCGCTCAATTCGTCGCTGCCACGTCATCCTGGAGTGAGCTGGAAGATGTGATTAGTAGCAGTAGTAATGACGTGGTATTACTTCATTTCTTCATATTTCATATATATATTTTTAAAATCAAAATAAATAAAAATATATATTTATTTTTAGGATTTCTATAATTTTCTACTGGATACGGGAGCGGATTCAGTGGCGTCGGTAACAGGAATGGATATGTCAAACGGCATCGCTTCATTGCGGAGATATTCAAGATATCTCAGCTCCGTCACCCCGACGGCTGGAGGAGATAACGTAGATTTGTCGGATTTCATGAATCGTATTATAAGGAAGAAGCTCAAAATAATTCCAGATAACGTCACGTCGGTATTATTATTATTATTATTTTAATTATTTTCCTTTTTATTCTTAATTATAATTTTTTTTTTTTTTTTTTAATTTTATTTACAGATGGGGCGGGCAGTCGGAATACGTTTTCCGAAGTCTTCAAGAAGACTTTATGAAGCCAAGGATTAACGAGGTATTATTAATTTATATATAATTTGAAATTTTTATTTTAGCCTCCATTAAATTAAAAAAAAAAAAATTATTTTTTTAGGTCGATGAGTTGCTTGCTAAAGGAGTGGAAGTCACCATATACAATGGCCAAGTAAGTTTTTTTTTTTTTTTTTTTTTTTTTTTTTTTTGGNTTTTTTTTTTTTTTTTTTTTTTTTTTTTTTTTTTTTTTTTTTTTTTTTTGGGTGAAATGGGTTAAATTATTTTAAGAAAAAAAAATTATAATTTAATTTTTTATGATTTTAATTACAATTTTTAATAATAGAAACTAATTGTTAGATGAAAGTTCCACATCGGCTCATTTAAGGAATGATCATCGGTTTATAATCAAAGAATACTATCTCTATTAGTATGAGCCTTTTTGGGGAAGCTCGAAGCAAAACCATGAGAGCTTATGCTCAAAGTGTACAATTATGATACCATTGTAGAGATTTGTGTTCATCTAGCATGATATCAGTCTAACATAGTACCAAAGTCATGCCCTAAACTTAATCATGACAATAGAATCCTCTAAATGTCGAACAAAAGTATTGTGTGTCTTGAAGGCATAGTAAAAAATGACTAAGACTCTAAAAGAAAATGAGTCGAGCCTCGATTAAGGGGAGACGTACTTTGTTCGAGGGGAGGTGTTGGATGAAAGTCCCACATCGGCTAATCTAGGGAATGATCAAGGAAATGATGATGGGTTTATAATCAAAGAATACTATCTTCATTGGTACGAGGCCTTGTGGACAATATCATATCATTGTAGAGAGTTGTGTTCATTGAACACGGTATCAGAGCTATACCCTAAACTTAGGCATGTCGATATTTATTATTATTATTTTTGGCAATCTTTTTCTTTAGTATATATAATGAATTAATAAACAATAAATGAAGTCTATAATGTAGTGGGTTAGGTGCAAAAAGAGTAAATGGGATGAAGTGCTTAATTTTTAGGGTTTTATAAAATTATATAATTAAAAAGAGAATTTGTTTTTATTTACAGGTGGACCTCATATGCTCAACCAAGGGAACGGAATCATGGGTTCATAAGCTCAAGTCTCTCTCTCTCTCTCTAAATGACTTTGACCATTTTGCCCTTGGATAGAAGGGTATAATTGACACATTGTTTGTTTTTATTTAGGTGGGATGGGCTACAAGCTTTTTTAAGTATGGAAAGAACCCCTCTTTACTGTGGAAGTAACAAAGATAGAACCAAAGGATTCACCAAGTCTTACAAAAATCTTCGCTTTTATTGGATTCTTGGAGCTGGCCACTTTGTAAGTCAATCTCTCCTACTTTTCTTTTTAGCTTAAATGCTTTTTCGGTACGTACACCACCCGGTGAGACGAAGATTTAGGTGGGGTTAGACTTGAGGTCGGAGACGGTGAATATGATATGCTATCGTACGACCCATTCTCACTACCTTCCTCTTTTTGGTTTGAAGGAATTTTTTTTCGGTTTTCCATTTTCGTTCGTGTAATCTTCTATCCTACGACCCATTTTCACCTCGCTCGTCGGCCAACTTTTTCTTCACTCTTCCATTTTCCTTCATTATTCTTTCTCCTCCTTCTCCCGCCAAGCTGTTCCTCACCCTTTTGTCTATAACAAAGCTTCTATAATCTGGTCGCGCTTTGTGGATAAAGATTTTCTTCATTTGAGTTTCTCAATGGCAGACTTCGAGTCTAGTTTAGTAATCTCCTAGTAGATCGACTGGACTTTGTGGAAGTACTGAGCGATCGTCATGTTACGTTGTGAGATTGATAACAGTTCGTTCTCTAAAAGTTGTAGCCTTGTATCGTTCTTCTTTGAGAATAACATTACGAACGTGTCTCGTGCTACTTTTGATGTCTTGTCGTCCCAAATGTGCTCTAACATCTCTTCTTCGGTTGTGGTCTTCAAGGCAAAGATTGCTTTGTCTGTTTTGAGTCTCCATTTGCGCAAGGTGCCGTTAGAATCCTCCTTTGACGGTCTATGCTAGTTCATTTACGAAATTCATTCCGGATAGGGGTACATAATCCAACCTTCAACACATGGGCATTAGCGCAATGTCGGCACACCCGTGTCATTTAACACTACCTTTGAAAGACCCTTTCAAAAGAAGTCACCCAAGATACTTGTCTCGCATTGCTCGCCTTCACTGTGGCACACGCATGTGCCACAGAGTAGCTCGCTTAGGTCATAGAGCCTTGAGGTGGTGGAGAACTGACACCATGCTCTCTTTAAAGTACATTTTGAGTCATTTTTTATCTGAAAAGTGTAGACATGATTTTGGTGAATGGCCATACGATATCGTAGAGCGACCGTTGTTATCAAATTTGAATTTAGAACTGCATACCCAAATTTTCCTTGAAACTCCGACTTTCAAGATTAAGGCTTGAGGCCCTATTCGATCCTTTAACAAGCCTATCTCTGAAACTCACGTCGACATTGTTGCCTCTATCTTGCTCGTGCTCATGCACATCTTTGTAGTATTTTTTTCCCATTTAAATTTCAACATTTTCTTCATCTTGTTTGCCTTTGCAATAAACTCCCTCTTATTATTAGACTTTATGGCAACTGACAGGTGCCGGTAGACCAGCCCTGCGTAGCGTTAGAAATGGTGGGAGCCTTCACACGGTCACCGGCTGCAATTGCTCACAAGTAAACGAACAACACGTGGCAAATAGTAGCTCATTTAGATTTACCATTTAAATAACAAAATAGCAGTACAAAAATAATTGAGCTTCCAATTTATTTCTCCCTTTTATTTATTTTTTTTTAAGGAACAATTTGTCTCATTTCTGCCTATATCAATATCTCAACGATATTTCTACAAATTATTATAATATTAGAATATTTTACATGCCAATTTCATAATTTTCTTATTGTTGGATTGTTGAAAAATATTTGTTAGAGGGCAATAGAAAACCGAACCGATTCAAATTGATGCATGGGTCGGTTTGGTTTTTTGCATAAGTTTTAAAAAAACCGAACCGAAACGAATCAATTTTCTCTTTTTATTCTTTTGACTTCCCGTTCTCAACTCTTTGACTCTCGTTCAATTGGACTGTAACTTGACGTCATGAGCAATTGTTACACAAGTTTTATTAAAACTATTATTGGTATAAAAGAAAATAAAACTGTTATTGCAAGTGAAGTAACGATCGTGTTGGGGACATCTACGAGTGACAAGTTTCTTGTTAAGTATGATTTTTGTTCGATCTTGTAATATCAACGGAGTAATAATCTTTTTAATTTTTTTTTAATTTGAAAAAATAGAACAACTAAAAGACAGAGGTTATACAATGTCGACGACGTAAAGGAGAAAACGTTTGAGCTCGAAAAGCTTGAGGTTTTCATACGATTTCATGTCGTAAGACGAGTTTGGAGGGGTTTGAGATATTCCAATTCGGAAAGGAACTCGATGATTTCAAGGTATGATCCAAAAGTTTGGATGGTTAAATTCATCCTCAATGGTTAATGATTTGTTATGATTCTTGTCTCACGAGCCCTACAAGTATGGTGAAGGCATAAAAAACTATCGAGGGCAAATGAAGGAGATCGAGTTTTAGATTTTTCAGGCATTTTTTTTTTTTTTACTAATTCTTAGCTCATTATCTTTGTCTCGAGGAGATCTACAATTTTGTAGAAGGGAATGAGAACTATCGAGGCCAAAATCGAAAGTTAGAAATGATGGAAGGAAAACGTACGTGCATGCAAGGAAAAGAGACGGTTGGCTAGAGGTTAGGGAAGACGAGTCCAATTGGATTAGCTAGTTCAACTCTCCCGAACCTGTTTTCGGTTGCGATTAAGGTAGTTGAGGCCGTTTAGTGCCATATTTCACATAATTTGATTAACATTAAATTGTGAAATACTAATGAAAGGGACAAATGGTTTAATAGAAAACAAACCACGACGACACTTGGAGCAGCTTTTGAAGAACGGGAGCTAACGTATAATAATTTAGGGAGAAAGCTGGCTAAGGCCAACTAAGTAAGTGACCTTACTATAGGATACACTAGAAACTTGTATGAGTGTATGAGTTATGACGTGTTATGACGTATGATGACGTATATGGTGATGTATGATGATGCTTAATGACGTGATTGATAATTATGATGTATTTGATGGCATTATGACGATAATTATAATGATTATGATGCATGATATTGTTACCTTAATATGATGATGTTTTCATATTAAGCATGATGTATGTATGAATGCCATGTTGCATCACGTCGAGAAAATCAGCCTAAGACACAACCCTAAAGAGCATGAATAACTAATGCACATGTATCACTAAAAAGTAATAGAGAGACGAGACTAGGGTGGTGTTAGAAAGATGTGTTGAAGACGAGAAATTGAGGGACCTCTTGCATGTTTATGTGTACATAAGCATCGGGATACTTCCCCTTTTAAGATGATGAGTGCGGACGTACACGTTTTGATGATGACAGTGATCATGTTGAGCATGACACCCAAGGGTCCGCTGACCTACGTTGCTACAAATAGCTAGCTCGACGATGATGGGTCTAGGGGGGTGCGAACCGCCTGGAGATTTACACTCGTACGTGTGGGTTATGTGTAGGGAAGTACTACACATCCAAAGTTAGTATGGACTGAAGACCATCCGTAAGATGAGATAGAGATAGGTCCGCATCTTTTGCATATGTTTGCATTTTTGCATGGCCCTATAGTGGGGTCACTTACTAAATATTATTCGAAATACTCAGGCATCATTTTTTAGGTAAAGGCAAGGCGTCCATGTACGGTTGACGATGACATGACACGTGCATAGGATAAAAACATATATGAATTCCTAGACTTAAGTTAGAACTGGTTGTTTTGCATTTTATATTTTAAATTATTTGCATTTTCAGTATTATTTGTTGAACACGCAAGACCAGGAAGCTTTTTTTAAAGATGACGTTATTTTATTCTTTTGAAAATTATTCTATAAATGATGTTTTTAAGAGTTATTCCACGTATGAGCTTAGCATGAGTTGTTGGTAGCAATTCTAGGTAAATAGAAATTTAATGTTTTACAAAATGAATGTGAAGAATGCCATTTTGAATGGTTATATCGTTGAGGAAGTTTATGTAGAACAATTTATCGACTTTCAAAGTTTTGATGTGCCATTTTGAATGATTTGCCTAATCATGTTTATATCGTGGAGGAAGTCCATTGCTAACAGATATTACTCGCTTTGGGCCATTATGTATCGCCGTTGTTTGTTAGAGAGAGGTTTCCAACCCTTATAAGGAATGTTTTGTTCCCATCTCCAACTGATGTGAGATCTCATAATCCACCCCTCTTAGGGGCTAGTGTCCTCGCTGTCACACTACTCGGTGTCTAGCTTTGATACCATTTGCTCAAGCCCACTACTAACATATATTATCTACTTTAGTCCGTTACGTATCGCCACCAATCTCACGATTTTAAAACGCGTCTGTTAGGAAGAGGTTTGAACATGCGAAAAGATCTGCTATGATCAATATTTTTTTTTTATTTAAGTAACTGGTTGGATATAAAGAATTTTGAATTAAAAAATAAATTAAATTTGTTTAAACTATGATAAAAATATTATAGAAATCGTAATAGTTCGGATTTTGTTAAAGGACTAAAAGTAGAATTAAGAAGAAATTAAGGACTAAAAGTAGAATTAAGAAGAAATTAAGGACTAAAAGTAGAATTAAGAAGAAATTAAGGAGCATTTTTGATATTTGGGGAAAGTTGTCCTAGAATGGTTGCTCAAGGCCGTCGCCGACTCTTGCCAGCTGAAATCAGTCGAGATTCGGGAGTTTCCTAAAGTCTACGAAACAACAAATCAACAAAAAATTTACACCAGACGCGCGAAACCACGCGCATCACCTGAAACTTTATCGGCTTCTCACTCCTTGATTCACTCATACGAAACTCTCATCAATTGGAACCCGATCTCTGTAGATTCAACGGATCAAATTTTGGGGGAGTGGCATCGCATCAAATATGCGGCACAGGGGGGGTTGAACTTGCGAGCCTGATGTGAAATGCAGCCAAATTTGTTTCCATTTGGCAGTGTTCTTGGAAACCCTTTCACGTACAATGGTGATTTGAGCGAAGGATTCGAGACGTCCAGGTTTCTCTTCTTTGTTCCGTTTTTTCTGCTGCAAGGAGGTGGAATGGACTTGTCTAAGGTTGGGGAGAAGATTTTGAGCTCGGTGAGGTCTGCTAGATCGCTTGGACTTCTTCCTACCCCTACTGATCGTCCGGAGGTAACTGATGGCACTATTGGCGTAGTTCTCGATGTTTATAGGTAGCTGCTGTTTAGTTGGATTTGATTAAAATTGATTATGGTTTACTGATTCCCGAGAGTGCTTTTAAATTCAATTCAAGCCTCCTTTAGTTACAATATTCTACCTTCACTAATCAATGCCATTCATAATCATAGAGATAATCAACAGCTTATGTATACAGTTTGATGAATTGGGTTGCAGATTATAAAGGCTTTTACACTCGACATAGGTAGCCCATAATTGAGATGTGTCCTTTGTTTTTGGTATTAGAGACATCACATAATTTCAGTAAACCAGAAGAGCTGGTTACAAAAGAGAGGGCGAGAGATGGGATATCTCCCTTCTGAAACCTTGGCCAAAGGGGATTGCAAAAGACATCCCCACTATAGATTCATAAGTTACGAAAAGTTTCTGAATCACCGTGCAAAGCTGTCCAGGGGGAAGTAGTTTGTTTTGTAATTTTAAAACAGTAAAATGCTCCGATCCTAGAGGACGTTATTTGATTGATTGAAAACAGGAAAAAGGTGGTGAAGATCAAGGATTTTAGAGCATTAGGCTGGTGAATGGGACTCAAAATTACTGCAAAAAATATTGCGGAAACGACACACACACACACACACAAAATGAAGACTACTATGTTTGAGTTTCTTGCTTTCAAAATGCTTTTATTTGAGATCGACATATTGTGGATTATATTCTTATTGCAACTGAAGTTCTTTAAGATTGGAGGGAGGCAGAATGATGGGTTTTTGAACAAATTTTGAAAAATATTGGTGTATTTAAGTAAAAGATGAAGTGGAGCAGGTGAATTATCTTCTTTTCCTCTGTCCATTTAGCTGGAATTCTTGGTGCCTGTTTAGGCAAGAAATAGTGTTCAATAATTATGTGATCTAAAATTTTAAGGAAAAACAAAAGTTTTATGAATACTACCATTCTCAGACCGCCGATAGAAAACAAAGTGATTCAACGTATGCTTATTCGTACCAAATTGCTCAAGTGCTCGACTAAATATACCAAACCATGCTTGTGGATTTTGTTTCAATTTGTGTAAAGATTTTCTAAGGTGACAAACTTTTTCACTCTCTCCTTGGGCAACAAATCATAGTGGTTTCTCCATATAAATTTCCTTGTTAGGATCACCATGTAGAAAAACATTCTTAATGTCAAGCTAATGCAAAGGCCAACATTGAGTAGCAACCATTGAAAGAAACAATCAGATAGAAGTTAATTTAGCAACATGAGGGAATGTAGCAGAATAATCAATTCTATAGATTTAGGCATAGCCTTTAGCAACATGATGTGCTTTAAAACAAGCTACTGATCTGCTGGATTAACCTTGATTTCAAACACCCATTTACACCAAATTACTTTCTTTCATACAACATGAAAAACTAAGTCTCAAGTACCATTCATCTAAAGAATTAGTCTCCATAATCATTGTATTATGCCAACTAGGATTCATGAACAGAGTTAGAGTCAAAGGTAGACTCAAGGAACGTAATAAAAGAATACGTGGACGATGACAAACAAAGAAATATGATAAGTACACATGCGTTTACCTTACGAAGGGCAATGAGAAGGGTATCAGTTGGT